AATATTGCAATGCACACAACATTATGGGTGACATACCAGAGTTCAAAAGAGGACAAATTGTTGGTGCACATCTTGCTGGCACATCTGTGACCAAGACAGCAAGTCTTTGATGTATCAAGAGCCACAGTATCCAGGGTAATGTCAGCATACAACCAAGAAGGACGAACCACATCCAACAGAATTAACTGTGGACGCAAGAGGAAGCAGTCTGAATGGCGGGGAGGCATGTAAAGCCTGGCGGCCCGCCAGCCTAATAAAGCACTGCGGGAAACCCTGGAGTTTGAGCTTTGCTTAAGGTCTGAGTTCAGATGCATAGTTCACTGTTTGATTGTTTTTATATTTAGAATTAGTTCACAGGACAACCCTCATTTAACTCAGTTCATATTAGGCCTATTGCAGAATTATTATTCAAAATTAAATTAGAAATCTAATCCAAAAAAACTGTATCTAATTAATTTGACCCACGATTAAAGTAAAAATACTTTTGGGTTGGTGCAGGCGGTAGTGTTTCTCTGATTTAATATTAGACTGGACTTTTTCATAAGACACAACCAACACAACACACAAGATGGAGAAAAAAAGATGACAACTGATTAAATAAGTAAAGTCTATCTTTTACACAGAAAATTGTACAAATTGTGCAAATTGTAAAATTTGTATTGATACGGATCCAGGAAATTCATATCCACCAAAAAAGCATAACAGACTCAATTTCAAAACTTTGGAAAAACTTTTTTAAATAAAAAATTGTAAAGAAAAAAAAAGAAAAAAATCCCAGTCCACAAGCATCCTCATTCACAACAACTTCACTTAGATATTCACGTTAGGATACATGTTTACATTATTTATTGACTGTATCTAAAGATATCAAAGATATATCAAAATTAAATGAAGATATTAAATAATACAATATAAAATACAAAGACTTCAATTATATTTTTGTAGGTCTTCAAATCAGCAGCTGGTTTAGTTCTATTGAACATCAGCTGATGTTCATGTCTTTTTTTAATCACCACCAAAAAATAAAAAAAAGAGGAGAGGAGGGTCCGTCAGATAGTCGAATCCCAGATTCAGGAAGAGCAATGGAGTTTTTGTCCTGTCGTGCAACAGCGGACCAGCTCTACACCCTCAGCAGGGTCCTGGAGGGTGCATGGGAGTTCAACCAGTCTACATGTGTTTTGTGGACTTGGAGAAGGTGCTCGACCGTGTCCCTCGGAGACTCCTGTCGGGGGTACTCCAGGAGTATGGGCCTGTTGATATGGGCTATTAGGTCCCTGTACGAACGATGCCAGAGCTTGGTCTGCATTGCCGGTAGTAAGTTGGACTCATTTCCAGTGAGAGCTGGACTCCACCAAGGTTGCCCTTGATCACTGATTCTGTTCATAACTTTTATGAACAGAATGCCTTTCTGTGCCTTTGTCATGTATTGATCCATGAGTCCACTTATCTTGGCCGCTACAATGCTGACAGGAGCTTCCATATTGTGGAGAGACAGGTTATTGGCCAATAGTTGGATGAGACTGCTCCTTTCTGGGAGTCTTTCATTATCAGAACTGTATTATCAGAACAGCCCTCAGTTAGCCATTCTGGGTGGGTCACATTCTTCAGCAGTTGGTTCCTTTGGGTCACAAGGTGCTCATGGAGTGAAGTCAGCTTCTTGAGCCAGTAGGTGTGGATCATGTCTGGACTTGGTGCTGTCCAACCCCTCATACCTGAGAGTCTTAG